CTGTGACAAAGTTTAAATTACAAATTAGACATAGAAAGAAATTAGAAACAATGACTAATGCTAAAATAGAACAATTATAAATTATACTATAATAAAGCTATGTGAAGGTGATTCTTTCAAAATAACTTATTGCATTTAATATTTTCTGGCTGCAGTTGAAACTTTGGAAGGGAAAACCACAGGTAAGGGGATTTACTGTCCACTGTAATTAATATCTAAGAGTATCATTTGGATATAATTCTCCAGTTCCCTCTTATAGCACCCTATCAGCAATTCATTTATTTTGAAGATGATTACCTGTAACCCTAGGTTGTAAAAAGCAGAACAGGAAATACAAGTACATACAAAACTGGTAAGATATCATGACAGAGAGCAAGAGTTTTACTGCCAAATTTGCCTGGGTTGGTTTTATTGGATCGTGCTAATCATCAGTGGCTCTTGGGTTCACATTAATAAAGAATTGCAAAACTGGAAGGAAAAAAAATTACCTGGGCTCAAATACCACCATCTTACTTTTGGTCCTTGGAATTACAAGCAAGTTTGTCATCCACTCTGCTTCTCAGTTTCATGATCAATAATAGCTTGTTTTGGGCCTCCCCTGGTGGCGCAGCAGTTGAGCGCTGGGCTATGAAGCTGCCTGCAGCCAGCCTCTGCAGCGCCGGTTCTATCCCAGCCACCAGCGAGGTTCCCACATGGCGGGGCAGAACTCTCCTGCCTGGCTCCCTGCTCCCCTCAACAGTGTATTTCATCAGTCTGCCTGTTCTGTTCCCCGCTCTGGCTCTGGTGAATTCTCTCACTCTCCCGCGCTTCTAACGGTACCCAGTGCTTGTATAAATAAATAAAATCTTTTAAAAAATAAAAAAAAAATTTAAATAATAGCTAGTTTTGGAATGAGAATAAAATATAGTGATACATTCAAATTCCAGCACATTATAAACATTAATCACCATGGGTTAAGTTCCCGAACCCTTGTCTCCCTTCTCACCCTATATCAAATAATATCAACTGCAGCTAATAGAGAAACAACAGTAAGTAGCTTAAACAAGAAGTCCAGGGAGGCATCCCTGGTGAACAGGGGGTAAAGACACAGCACTATGAAGCTATCTGCAGCCACTGCAGCACGAGTTTGATTCCGGGCCAGGGAGGTAACACACATGGTGCAGCAGACCTCTCCTGTCTTACCTGCTGCTCCCCTCAGCAGTGTATTTCTGTAGATCTGCCTGTTCTGCCCCCCACTCTGTCTCTGGAATCCTCTCATCGCCCCCCCCCCGCATCTTTGACTTGCACCCCAGTTCTTGTATACATAAATAAATAAATCTTTAAAAAAAAGAAAAAGAAGTCGTCCAGGGACATGGTAGTTTCAGTTGACACCATCTATTTGCTCTGCCACCCTTAGGGGATAGATCACAAAATGGCTGCAGCAATTCCAGCCATCACATCCATACAGGACAGAGTCCCAAGGAAGAAAGGACACTGGGTGTCTCTATTAGAAGCAAGGAAGCCAGCACATCTTTTTTGTCTCAAAGGTCAGAATTTGCCACATTGCGCACATTTATTTCGGGCATCATCAGAGAACTTTGAAAAGAAAAAAGGGCTGGGCTCCCCTGAAACACATCCTAAGGAAGGGTATACACAAAGCAAAATTTGTGTGCTGATAGGAAAAGGAAAAGGGCCATGGATGTTGGGGAAAAAGTTTCACTTCTGCATCTGTTATATTCCCCACTGCATGAAGCCTTATCTAGTGTAAATTCTCCCCTCTGGGAGATGTGGGGAAGAAGATAGACAGGGAGTATAGATAGACATGCTGTCCAGGGCAGACTCATATTTGGGGTGAAAGGGCTTGGTGACAAAAAGAGGAGGGAGAGGACACAGTAGAACAGCATGACCTACTTCACAGTTCTGTCTACACAAGTCCTGCTAGAGCATAAACTGGGACAGCACAAAACACATGACAGACTGTGCTGGTGTGAACAGAAGGTGATAATGAATGCAGACGGCCTCATTTAAAATCAACACAGATGTCTACGCATTTGAGTAGTAGATGTCCACAGAGAATAACGGTGGGCCTCTGACCACGTAGACAGGGAGAACACAAATCTACTACTACAGAAACATCTAGTAAAATAATGACTAGTAGGTTTTGATTATCTACCATATCTCCAGCTATAATTAAACCTTAAAGAAAATAAAATACAATATGACATAGGATCTGGCTTTGGAGAAGTTAAACTCTGCTTGAGGAGTCAAAAGTAACAGAGATGAAGTCAAGGGCAAGGCCAGACCCTTTGGAATCAAAGGTTAAGGGATGTGGTGCAGAGTGGGGCAGAAGGCTGCAGGGCAGGGAGCAGGAAGGGGACTTGAACTGGGAGTAACCCTTGGTAGGTCAGGATTTGGCTTAAGGCAGACAGAGGAGAGAAGAGGGCCAAAGGAATAAGAGGGAAGCTGATAACCAGGAGAATCCTCTGATGAGAATGGAGTTGCTCTGTTGGTCAGGTGAAAAATTATTTGGACAGGAATGATGGGGTCATCGAGATTTAATTTTGCATATTAGGCATGGTGGGTCACTGTTAAATTTTGGAATGGGCTACTTTTGGACCTATCTGGTCATGATCACGAGGGTTTTATTCTGTTTGGGGACTTTTTTTTTTTTAAGATGAGCTTGTCCAGGTATGTGGGATATTGTGCAGGTGACTTTGACAAAATCCCATTAGCAGTCTGGTCAGAGGCTCACTGCCAAAAACAACTTTGAGCCACAAGTGCCCCAGTGGGAAGCCAGACAGACATAAGTAAAGGCCTAGCCCTATCACTCATTAGCAAATTACTTCATCTCTCAGAACCTTCATTTTTTCATTTATGAAATGGGCATAATGCCATCTCATAGGAATTTTTACAGGAAAGTTTTTGTTACATAGACAGCACACAAAATATTCATTTCCCCCCTTTCTTCCTTTTGTTTACCAAAGTATTGAAGCAAAACCTCCAACCACTAATCTTACATAATAATGTTTGGTAACTTCAAAACTGCTTCATCCAGAGACACTCAAGGCAAGGAAAAAGTTGAGTCTTTCTTGATTTAAAAATTAAAATTTTCTATCAAATTTTGGAATGATTTATTTAAAACTGCTTTGAACATAAAGAAATACAATGTATCCACAAAGACTAAACATTTTTATTGTCATTATGAACTTTTATTTGTAGCTGTATTTTTTAACTTTTTTTTAAGATTTATTTATGCATACAAGAGTTGGGGTACAGGCCAGAGGGGGGTGAGAGGATTCACCAGAGCACCAGAGACAGAGGGGAAATAGAACTGGCAGATGGACCAAAGTACAGTGGGGAGGGGAGCAGGGGGAGACTGGAGAGGTCTGCTGAGCCATGTGGATGGCTCCCTGCGGGGAATATCAAACTAGTTCTGCAGAGGTTGCATCTTAACCCCTTGGGCCACCAGGGAAGCCCTGTATTTTTTAACTTTTAAATTAAATATTTGTAACAAATGCAAATGAGAAGAGAAAAAGGGGCCCAGAGATGAGGGGAGAATGAATAGATTCTGGTGGGGTGGGAATGAGATGTTGACTTCTCCTTTCTCTTGAATTTTCTAGAAAGACAAGAAAATTGCCTTTTATACTTTAACAAATGCGTACAGAGCATCCCACATTGACCTCCCGAAACAAGCCGGAGTCAGGCGACCAGCAGCAGGCTTGCGGAGTGGACAGCTCCCGCCACACTCCAGGCCTGCAGCACAAGGTCCAGGGGAGGTGACCAGGTCATCAAAGGTGGGAGGATAGGAGTGCATTTCTAATTTTACCTTTCACTTCAAAAAGAAAAATACCACTTAACAACTTGCCTATTCAGGGCCTACCCGGTGGCGCAGCGGTTGAGCGCTGGGTTGCAAAGCTGCCCGCAGCCTCTGCGGCGCCGGTTCGATCCCCGGCTGCTCCCTGGCCACCGGAGGAGGGTCCCACATGGCGCGCAGACCTCTCCTGCCGCCCGCTGCTCCCCTCAGCAGTGTATTTCAGTTCTTCTGCCTGCTCTGCTCCCGGCTCTGGCTCTGGTGAATTCGCTCACCCTCCAGCGCTTCTGACTGTACCCAGTGCTTGTGTAAATAAATAAATAAATCTTTAAAAAAAAGCTTAATTTAAAACAAACAAACAAACAAAAAAAAAAAACAACTTGCCTATTCAAAAGGCTTGTCTCCTAGGGCCTTCCCCAGGAGGGAAAAAAACCAAAAACAAGATTCTTAAAAAAACCTGGAAAGGCAAAAATGAACTTAGCTATTTGAAAGGGTGGTGGGATGATGAGTGGGGTTTTTTACCTCTTGTTTCATTGACATCCTCTTCCTATCCTTGTAGTAAAGAGGCCACAAAGACCCTCTTTCGGAGGGTGTGTGAATGGCTGGGGACTTGCATGCGGGGCTACTGTGTGTGAACCTGAGTGTGTGGGGTGCGGAGATGGCAGGATGTGGAGTTCGGAGAGAGTGTCTGGTCGAGGGTGGCTGTGTAACGGGCGTGTGGAGGGGTGTGGAGTGTGTGGGGGGGGGTTCTGTGGAGAAGAGCTGGCATTGTGCGGGGGGATGTAGTGTGCAGTGTAGGGTGTTCAGAGTCTGGAGAGGATATGAGAGCGAGTGTGGGCGTGGGGGTGTGCGTGTGAGAGCGTGAGTGTAAAGTTGAGTGTGTCTGTGTATTGCGTGAGTGGGGAGGGGGTGCGCCGCGCGTGAGCAGTTGGGAGAGTGTGCGAGGTGGGCGCTGGGAGGGCAGCCGCGCGTGTGCTGAGTGTGCGGTGCGTGCGCCGGAGCGGAGCGTGGAGGGGGCCCCAGGGCGCCGCCTAAGTGTCCCCCGCCAGCCTGCCCCTCCCATCCCCCACCCTCTTCTTCTCCCAACCTCCTCCCTCCCGCTCCCGGCGGCGGCGCGGGAGCCGGGCCGGGCGCGGACTGGGGCGCGGCGCCGCGCACGCCGCTCTGCGGAACCCGGGGAGGCCGAGGGAGGGTCCGCGCGGAAGCCCCGCCGGACGCGCGCCGGTGCCGCCCGGGCGGCCGCGGACATGTGCAGGATGTCCTTCAAGGTGAGCGCAGCGGCCCGGGCGCGGGTGCCAGGCCGCGCGGCCGACCGGAGGCGGCGGGACCCGCACCCGCCCGGAGGCGCCGCCGCGGGCCCGCAGGGCGAGGTGGGCGCACCCGCCGGTGCGGAGCGGGCGGGGACCCGGGGGACCGAAGCTGCGGCCGGCGTTCGGGCGGTGCGGGCTTTGCTCTCCCCGCCGCAGGCTGCGGGCTGGGTGCGCCCGACCGCCTCGCCTAGGGGTGGCTGGGACGGTCGCCCGGGAAACGGCGGGGCGGGAGGGAGCTTTCCCGCAGCCGCGCTCTGCGCCCGAGGGCTGGGGCCGCCGCGCCGCCGCCCTGCGCGGCCCCGGGACGCGCTCCCCCTGGATGCAGCTGCACCTCTGCTGCCGCCTCGCCCGAGTCCTTTCTGGGCACTGAAGCTGAGTGACCCGTACAGAGTGGAGCCGCAGCTGATCAGGCTTCAGTGTCCAAAGTGGAGCTTCGTCTTATAAGTTTATTGAAATCGTTTTTAGGATGAAAGTGAAGTAATTGATTGGCCTCAGCTGGAAGGTTTTACTAAAGCAATAATTAAAATAGACTGGGCATTTAAAATGTGCCCATCTCAGAACCAAGGGCATCACGTGCATCTTTCGAATCCTTAGGCAGACTCGGGAGAAGGTACTTTCCTGGTTCTCGCGCGCTACTTCCCTCCCTCTCTCCGACTCTCCTCTCTTACTCCTTGTCTCCTACTTCTCCCCTCCCTCCTTCTTTTAGCAAAAAAGCTAAAACGTGGAGAAGTTATCTCTCGCAGGCTTGCACTCAGTAAGTGAACAGTGTTAAGATTCAAACCCTAGTAGTAGTCTGGCCCCAAAGCCGCTGTCCTCCTGTCTCTTACAGCAAGTCCCATCGTTTACAGTAGCTGTAAGCAGAGGAGTGACTGTGCGATTTGCATGTTAGAAAGCTCTCTAATTAGTTTGGAGTGGAGGATGAGCTGAGAGACAAATCAGGAGTATGTTGAGGTCATCTTGTTCAATGAGATTTGCGTGTTAGACTTAGAGGATTGAAGGGAGTGGATGTAACTTCAATCCTACAGAATTCAGTGACTGATGTTATTCACTGAGTTAGGGAAGGCCAGAGAGGTAAAGATAAAATATTTGGTTTGAGGCTTGTAAAGTTGAGGAGTGGATGGGAGTCCAAGCAGAGATATTGATGAGACAGATAATAGGGCAATCAAGGCAGGAGGTAAAGATGAGATTTAGGAGTCTAGGAGAGATAGCAGTGTTAAGTGGTAATTGAGCCCTTGTGATGACCCAAAGATATCATGAAAAGATGGAAATTAGAGTATGTGCTCTCACTGAAGTCAAGGGTCTCTCATCTTTCAACAATGATGGAAGGGGACTCAGTGTTAAATACCACTGAAAACTCAAACAAGCCAAAAATTGAAAAGTGCCCATTGAATTTAATAACAAAACAGCCACTGGTAACCTTGCTGAGAGCAATTTTCTGTGAAGCTCTGGGTTCAGGAGCCAGATTGCAATGGCTGAAGAAGAGAGTGGGTAGAAACCACAAGTGTAGAGTATACTTTCCCAAAAAACTGCAAGAATTTTTGAACTGCAGTAGGAATCCAGAATTGGTCAAGGATTTGTTGCTTAAAATGGCAGACTTGAGCATCTTTAAATGCTGATAGACAACTCAACAATAATCAGAAAACCCAACTTTAAAATGGGCAAGATGGGAATAGACTTTTCTCTCCAGGAGATGTCATAGTCAATAAGCATCTGAAAAGATGCTTTAGGCAAATGCAAATCAAAACTATTAAATATCACTTCACACCCACTAAAGTACTGTAGTCAACAAAACAGGCAATAACAAGATGTGAAGAAAGTGGATTTCTCATACATTGCAGGTAGAAATATAAAATATTGCAGAAACATTAGCAAACATTCTAGTCGTTCTTCAAAAAACCAAATAGACAGTGACCAAATGACCCAGCAATTCCACTCATAGGTACATACTCAAAGGAAATTGTAAGGTCAGGTAGGACACTGGGCAGGTTTTCTAATATCCAGCAGACCGGGTAAAGGAGGAGTCAGAGTCCTCAGTGGTTTTTGCAGGTCTTTTATTGGAATTTACCCGGTACACAGCAGGCAAGGGTGCTGACAGGCCTCCCAGCCCCCAGCAAATCCTTACTCTATCTGGGCTCTCCAGTGATCTCTGCTTCTGCTTCTTTGCTTCTCTCTCAGGTTCTCTTCAGCTTCTACTGGCATCCCCATGACACCACCCTTAAAAGCCCAGTCTTAGCCCAGGTGAATCCCATCTACCTATGCCCACACCCTACTCCAGGTGCCCGCCATCAGGCATGCATTCAGGACCACAGGGTTCCGTCATCTATCCTGATGGTGGGAGGGCAGAAAAGGCTGACATTTTTCCTTACCCTACAGAAATGAAAACATGTTCACACAAAAACTTGTCATAGTAATGTTGTTTATGATAACAAAAAATGGAAACAACCCAAATATGTCCATCTTTTGTTTATCATTGAAATAAACAAAATATGGTATGTGTTAGTCAGCTTGGGCTGGCAAAATCCCATAGACTAGGCAGTTTAAACAACAGACACTTTTTTCTCAGAATCCTGGAGACTGGAAAGTCCGAGATCAAGGTCCCAGCAAATGTGGTGTCTGTTGAGGGCTCTCTTCCTGTCTTGTAAACAGCCACCTTCTTACCGCATCCTCACATGAGAGAGAGAGGAAGCTCTAGTATCTCTTCCTTTCTTATAAGGAGACTAATCCCATTAAGGGGTTCTACCCTCATGAGCTCATATACCCTGATGTAAAGGGCAGGAATGGACACAGTGCAGGTTTTCTGATCCCATGCAGACCGGGTAAAGGAGGAGTCAGAGTCCTCGGTGGTTTTTTGCAGGTCTTTTATTGGGGTTCACCAGGCATATGGCAGGCAGGAGTGCTGGCTGGGGGGCTGGCAGGCTGGCAGGCCTCCCAGCCCCCAGCAAGTCTTCACTCTATCTGGGCTGTCTAGCGTTCATTCTGCTGCTTCTCGGCTTCTCTTTCGGCTTCGGCTTCGGCTTCTACTGCTGCTGCTGGCGTCCCCGTGACGCCGCCCTTAAAAGCACAGTCTTGGCTCAGCTGAATCCCATCTACCTATGCCCACACCCTACTCCAGGTGCCCGCCATCAGGCATGCATTCAGGACAAGGATCCATCATCTATCCTGATGGCAGAAGGGCAGAAAAGCCTGACATTTTCTTTACCCTACACCTGATTATCGCCAAAAGGCCCCACCACCAAATACCATCACATGGAGAGGGCTTCAACATTGAATAACTGGTGGGGGGACTGAGGCGATACAAAATTTCAATCTATAGCACACTCTATCCAGGCAATGGAATATCATTCAGCCATAAGGAATCAAACACTGATAGAGGCTGCTACATGATGAACCTTGAAGACGTTTTGTTACATGAAACAAAAGGATCATATATGACACAAAGGAGCATATATGATTCTATTTATATGAAGTCCAGATGGGCAAATCCATAGAGGTAGCCGATTAGTGGTCGCCAGGGGCTGGGAATGAAGGGGGATGGGGATTGATTGTTAATAGGTACAAGGTGTCTTTTAGGGGGGTGATGACAATGTTCTAGAATAGTGGTAATGGTGGTACAACCTTCAGATTACCCTAAACACTACTTAATTACATACTTCTTGTAGTATGTAAATTATATACAATTTACAATTTTAAAAGTGTTTAAATGAGGATGGGGAGTACTGGGAAGGTATGGGAGTGGGGGAAAGGGAATTGAACTAAGCCTATAAAGTGCTCAGGATGAGGAGGGCCAGAGGATGAGCGAGGCTTCATTACTTACAGGGGTTAGCTGGCCAGGCGGAGGACAATCTCTGCCATTGGGGTAAGAGGAGAGGAGGTAAGATTGAGCATCTTTGTTGGTGTTTTGTGAAGTGAAGGCCACGATGAGGTTAGAAATTGAACTGGGTAGGAAGGAAGGTGCCTGAATTTTCAGTGAAGAAAGAAGGATCAGGAGGTGAAATCTGCCTTGAGTTGAGACAGGATGAGCAGGGGAGTGGCAGATATTTATGCACCTACCTGGAAAGGTAGTACCTGGAAGGAAGGAGAGGAAGGCTAGAGCCTGTTTCCCACCTTAGGGCTGGAGTGGAGAAGGCCCAGACTCCACCAGGCCTGCATGGTGGGAGCTGAAGGCGGGGAGACGGGGGTGGGCACTAGGTTAAGGTGCTAGATTGAGGATGAAAAGGAATTCCAAAGGGGCAGAATAAAGGTTATGAATACCAAATTGAGCAATCAATAAAGTTGATAGTAATGGTACATTTTGGAGCTATTTAATTAACTGTGCATTAACACTGACTTTGGAGCCATAGATTAACTTTTTTCATTTTCCCAAGCTTGGGTCTCCAAAGCTTTTATTTAGAAAAGCCCAGCCTTGTTGGCCAAGTCTGTGGGAGAATAAACAGAGCATTATAAATCACCATGTAGCCTGTTCTCCATAGTCAGAGTCATCACACGCAGAGGTGTTTGCTTCTAGGCTGAGGGACACTTTTGCATCTATTTTTTGTTCTTTCCCCATTATGCTGTCAGTAGTCTCTTCTCACTGGTATTGCTTTGCCTCTTGTAAACTTCCTCCTTCACAGTTGGCAACTCCTAATTTATCCTCCTTGGGAAAAAAGAGACACGTGTTTCTTAGAATTGTTCTTAAAATAAATGTGAACTTTCAGAGTGCAGGTCCGAGCTTCTTTGCTGAATAAAGTTTATGAGTTTCAATACATTGACTTTTAACTTTACAACAGTTATTTCAGCTACTCAGGATTTATTCTTCAGGGCTAAGGTTGTGAAATTCTGTTGCAGTTGGGGGGCTACTTCAAACACAATAGAGAAGGTTACCTTAATAGAAGAAGCATCACTAGGTAAAGAACAACACCTACATCTTTCTTTTCTTTTTTTTTCCACTTGTATTTAAATTTTATTTTTATATTCCCGCA